TGGGTCAAATGGTATCTCCAATTCCAACTTTCTAAGGAATCGCCATATTGCTTTCCACAGTGGTTGTGTCACTTCACAGTCACACAAGCAGTGTATGAGAGTCCCGATCTCTCCACATCCCCCCCAGCATTTGTTACTTTCTGTCTCATTGAACCTTGCCATCAGTGCTGGGGCGAGATGGTATATATCATTGTTGTTTTGATTTACATCTCTCTGATGGCCAATGATTGTTGAGCATCTTTTCATGTATTAGCTGACCACCTGAATATCCTCCTTGGTGAAATGTCGTCTATTTATGTCTTCTGCCCATTTTTCAGTTGGATTGTTAAATCCTTTGGTGTTGAGGCGTTGGAGTTTTCCATCAATCTTAGAGATGAGACCCTTGCCAGATATGTAATTACAGCAAATATGAATTTGTGGCTGTCATTTTTGTCATGTGATTTTTCATTGTGTCGATTTCTTTGTTCCATATAATTTTCTATGCTGAGCTCATTTTGTTTATGAATCATGTTATCACTTCCTTCATTGCTATTGTTTTAGTATTTGCTGAATATTTATGCTGGTCCTCTTTTTTATTTTGATGTGAAGGTTTATAATTTTTCTTTGTTATCCTGTGATTTATAGTTTTCTTCCCAAGTTTAGAAGAGTCCGTTCTATCTTGTAGTTGTCTTGACTTCCCTACCATCTAGAAGTTCTGTAACGACACAGATTATTTTTTCCCTCTTTTTGGTTTGTAGTTGTCCTCATTTGTTGGTTGGTGTCTCTGGTTCCCTGTTTACCATCTTGTAGGCTTATTTACTTTGGATACTTCCAAAGCTGGGTTGGTTTCTGGGTTATATCATCATGTGTGTTAATGGTCAGTTGTTGTTGGTGTTTCATAGTGTTTTTAGTGACTGATTTTTCAGAAATAGATTGCCAACCCTTTCATCTCAGGTGGCCCTGGATGGATTTGAACTGTCATCTTTTTGGTTAATAGCTGAGCAATTTGTACCACCCAGGAATTCTTCTTCAAGTTTATGCACCTAGTAAATGGCCGAACTTGGATTTGAACCTAGATCTAGTTGTGTTTTTAGCCTTCAGTGGAGGAGGCTGCTTAGAAGAGCTGATTGTGTTTATGGAACACTTTATGCCCCAGTTTTCAAGTTATCTGGAAATGAAGACAGCTGTAAATTGGCAAATAGTCTGCCATATTTTGTAACAGGAATGGGGCAAAGTGGAAAGCAAAGCACTTTTGCTTCTTGAGATTTCTCATGACCCAGGGTAGCATTGCTAAACTATTTATTTATTTTTTGACAAAAGTTTTACATCTGGTATTTGTATAAGGAGCCCTGGTGGTGCAGTGGTTAAAGTGCTTGACTGCTAACCAGAAGGTCAGTTGTTCGAACCCACCAGCCACTCTTCAGGAGAAAGATGTGGCAGTCTGCTTCTGTAAAGATTACAGCCTTGGAAACCCTGTGAGATAGTTCTACTCTGTCCTCTTGGGTTGCTATGAGTTGGAATTAACTCGAAAAGTGGGTTGGTATTGGTATATACTAAATGTTGGAAACACAGTTTATCCTTTGTGGTAGGGAAAAATGAAGCAGTGATCGTAAACAGAGGAATTAGAATTAATTAGAACTCCCATTTCTTTTTTTTTTTTAATTTTTTGTTTTTGGTAGAAATATACACAGCCAAACCCACTCCCATTCCATAGTTTCTAGACATAAAGATCAGTGACATTGGTTACATTCTTCACATTGTGTCAACATTCTTATTTCTGTTCTAGTTGTTTCACTTCCATTAACTTAATCTCCCTGTCTCCCAGCCTTCTCATGTATGCTTTAAAATAGCTGTTGTACATGTGGTCTTAACATAGATAATTTATTTAAAAGACCGTAATACTCAAGGGTGACAATCTTTACTTTTTGAGCTAAATGGTTACTTGGTTTAAAGATAACTTCAGAGGGTATTTTAATTCAAGGTTTAGAGAGTAACTCAGGGCAGTAGTCTTGAAGACTCCTCCAGTCTCAGAATGTCCAGTAAGTGTGAATTCTTTAAGAATTTGAAGTTCTGTAGAATGGCCATTTCTAATGTTGGAGCAGAAGGCTGTAGTGGAGGAGGAAAGAGGGCAATTGCATTTCACCAACACCCTTTGGCTGCTAATCAAAAGGTTGACAGTTCAAACCCAACATCTGCTCCACAGGAGAAAAATGAAGCAGTCTGTTTCTGTAAAAATTGACAGCCTTGGAAACCCTATGGGGTAGTTCTACTCTGTCCTATAGGGTCCCGTGAGTCTGAATTGACTGGATGGTAGTCAGTTCGGTTTGGTAACACCCTCCACTGATTTCCCTTGGGCTATGTAATAAATCACCAGGCTAAAACCCCATTCATTGGAAAGGAAAGATTTTGTGTCAATATTGGGTCTCCTGATATCTAAGAATATCTTTTTTTAAAAAAAAAAAAACCACCAAACTCACTTCCATTAAGTCGGATCCAACTCATAGTGACCCCTTCTTGGGTTTCCGAGGTGGTATCACTACGGAAGTAGACTGCCCAACCTTCCTTCTGAGGAGTGGCTGGTGGGTTTGAACCATCGGCCTTCTGGTTAGCCTTGACCTTTTTTT